CCATACAAATATTTGTCCCCTCCAGTTTTTATTAATGACTTAATTCATGTTAAATTGTTTTTTTTTTTTTGCTAAACAAATGTTAAAAGCAAAAGAGCTGATCCGTTTTAATACAACTGGCTTTTTATTGTTAAACTAATTGGCATTGTTTAATGATTGCATGCTTGTTGATTCTTTTTCGTGACCAAAAAGATGATTCGTTTTTTCAATGATTCTTCTTCTTTTTTGTCATGTCTTTATAATAATACATAGGGCAGATTATTTCAACTTACAAATGGCAGAGATTTGTATTACAGATAGCTGTCTCTTGAGTTGTCCAGCAAAATTCGCTGTGAGATTTCTTCTTTTGTCATTTTTTTTTTTAACATTTATTTGTAATATCAACTAACTGAGTTGAAGTACAAAATGAAAGACTATTGCCGGTATTCAATAAGTAGAATGCCGAAACTATAATCCCATCATCACATGAGAACCACAATCCCGCCACAGTGGAGAGAAAGCTAAAAAAAATTACAGCCGAAACTAAAACTGTTTTGGAGAAGAAAAAAACCATGCTATAATTAAGCTAAATAACAAAGCCTACTGCATAAACTGGTTTAAAATTTTTAATTAAATTGATGATAAAATTAAATGATTTGTACATGGATGATCACATACATAAAAGTTGCAGTATGTATGGATTAAAATAAACATGGATGAAAAAGTAGTTCGTGTCGATAAAAGCAAAGCAACAGCGAAAAGGTTTAGCGCACAAACACATTAAAATTAGACTATGACCGTTATTGATATGCGGATAAACATATTAAATTTTATTTATAAAAACATTTTAATGTTAGTTTTTTGTTGAAATATTTTAATGTTAGTTAGTAATTTGTTGAATTTTAAATTATTTTAAAATATAATTTAAATGTTGATTTTAAATCATTAAAAATTAATTTTTTTTGTACAATATTCTTTTCATTTCATTCTTCTACAGTACAAACAGATAGAATTATCCATCCTTTGAATTTCGATAAGACAATTTAAAAGCATATAAAGATTGATCACTTGACAGCAAATTCGACACTTGATCCGAATGCATCAGACTGATCTTACCGACAAAGCCGAATCGGCCGCCTAGGCTAGAATTAGTCACTTGTAGTGACGTTGAAAATGAAGCCTCGCTTCCGAAAATCGTCAATGCGCTCTCGTTTGTTTTTTCGGGTCTCGAGACTCCTAAGCAAGAAAACAATTCAGCAAAGACATTCATAAGTTTTCCCGACATGAAACTCGGGAATAATTCACTTCTCAAAGAGAAGGAAGTTTGCAACGATCTTTCCCATAGGGAAGAAATTGCTAAGTTCGACATCTCCAACCATGCATTGATCATAGCTCTCACGGTATACCAACCGAGAAAACTCTCCAAATATTTGATTCTGGGAGATGGACTTGAATTGGGAAGCGGGTTTGGGCTAAAAAGCCCATTTGATATTAAAAATCAATTTATATCCTAATTTCCATATCATGTGGATCTAAAAAAATAAAAATATAAGAGGAATTCAAACCATATTCTTACAGCGAAGAAAATTTTATATTCTTAAAAATTATAAATATTGATTAGTTATTTCATAAAATCATCAAAGAAACTAAAATATTGTAGAGTTGAATAAAAAATAGTAAATATTATATAAGTAACCTCATAAAATCATGTAAATATTGTTATCAAAATTATTGAATATCATTGATTTTAGCGTTTTATTTCTCATAAAGATATATACACGTCAAATTTAATATTCTTGAATCTTAATGATAATAATTATTATTTTTTAACTTGAATAAATTTTTATTTACTACAATTTCATTTTTTCTAATTTTATCCCCTAAAAATGGGGTTGATCCAACGGTGAAAACATATTCATATAAGGCAAAACCTCTTTTATTATTTTTCTCTTCTTGAAAATACTTGTTTTCCTTTCTTTTAGGCTCAAATTGCACTAA